GATCTGCGAATGTCTCTGATGATGGATTCGAGTGAGAATCAGTGATCGCATCTTCGTCTTCTGAACTGCTACATGGAACTCGTTTGTTCGCTTCTATCAGCAATTTTTTTGGGCGCGAGGCGCTCCGATCGGCTCAACCGTGGGAAACCTTTGCCCTTCGTGAGTCGTCTACATATGCGCAGATTCGATTTCTGCAGAGGTGTCTCGACAACAATGTGCTGCCGGAGGGTGTTTCATACAAACCTCTGGTCAATACAGAGCTGGCGAGACGCGCAGTACTTCATCACGGCCGACGAATGGTCCTAGTGCTCCTTCAAGACTGTCACTCACGGATTCGCAAATACCGTCAGAGGATTGACCAAGAGAAAGCAAGGTGCTGCGAGTTCATGGGCGAGGACGGCACAAAACTGCTCCAGCAGAGGCTGACCGAACGAACTCGCGAACATAAAGTGACACGCGAAGCAGCCCTAGAGAGCGAAGTTCGTAAGCTGCCTCCTCCAATGTCATCGAAGAACGACAAACTGGTGCACAACTTGTCGTCAAAGGAGCTGACAGAGGAACAAATGCAGGTTTTACGGCATGAGGCCTCACTCAACACAGCCGATGCCAAACCTGCCAACATGATAGCAGCAGTGGAATCAATCCTCAGCCAGACGGAAACGACAGATGAAACGAAGAACCTCATTCGATGATGACTGAGTAGCCATGCCCACTAGCCGTATACCTAGCGGGAGCGCAAGCGCATCTACCAGCAGAGAACCAGGTGTCAGGGAACTAACAGCGCATAGCAGGCTCCGAGGGCCATGGTTTGCTGATACTGGCCTTGCACACGCTTTCAGACCTTTTATCGATAAGCCAAAACACCAAACACAGTCATAGACGTAGGGGCGAGATGAGGTGATATTCCGGTAGCTGACACCCTGACTTCACTAAGAAGAGTTTTTGATGGACAAGAAGAATCTTCAGACTCAAAATTACGCATTATTGGAACTGATTTGCAGAGATTTATAAGTCGAGGATTCTGCAGCTGGAGACCTGTTAATAGAAGTTTGTTGGCAAATTGTAAGATAAAATAATCAAAACGACCGTCAGTTTCAGCACTGACGTGAGCAATATACTCTCACCGCTTGAAATTCTGGCAAAATAAAAATCGTATTCTAGTGAAACTTACCACCTACTTTTTCCTGATCTCTCGAAATTAAATCACCTCGGAGTACAAAAATTGTCTGTTAATTTCAAAGTTCAATCTCATGCGAGAAGACCGGCCTTACAATTTCCCTCCCCGCCCATGCACGGGCTTTAACACAATGCCTGACGCACATACGGCGGTATTCAGGAGCCCACGCAGGCTTATCAGTCTGGGGAGGTACAGTAGGTGGGTTAACTCATGAAATGTCAGCCGAAATTCCGAAATGCGGTCTCGCTTCGAAAATATTAATTAACCATGGTTGTAACATTAATTATAATGCAGCATAATTCTATAATAATGGACGTACCTCAGGGTGCCGGCTTTCGAATGAACTTATGTCCAACTGCATGCATGAACTATACTATGCAAAGAATGACTATCAAAGAAGTATGCACTTTTCTCGTTGTTTTTTGATGCCTCTAAATGGCCAATTATATTTCATGGAAAACATGCATAAAGATACTCAGTCTTTTGCACATTCGGTGGGCAATTACGTCTTCTTCTAATTCTCTACTCGAAAGAGGGACATAATTCGGTTTTTAAAAAGTTTCTGATTGTGGGACTTAAATACCGTGAAATGGCCGTTCATAAATCGTCATGTCTCTGCATTTACCAATTTGGCTTGTAAAGTTAACAATATTGTTCAAATCCATTGCTTAATTTTATGAACCCCATATGGTCTCCTCTTAATACCGTAGAATAATGTGTAGTTTTCCGTACGCGGAAAATATACGGCTTGTAGTTTGGAAACCCTGAATGCAAGTGCAACAGCAGCTCGGGTTCAAAATTATTCGGGAATTCGAAGTTTTTGAAAACCGAATTAGACCCTTCCTTCAAGTATAAAATTGAAATTCGTAATTCTCTACCGAATGAGCACAAGAATAAATATTTTTATGCATGTTTTTCATGAAATATAATTGAACTTTAGGGGGCATCAAAAATCAATGAGAAAATTTCATGCTACTTAAGTTGTCGTTTTTTACAGTGTCGTTTTTGTATTCGAAAAAAACGAAAGGAAGGCTCATTCGAAAGCCGGCATCCTGAGGTAACTAAATTAGTACAGAATCATGCTACATAATGGTTAGTTTTACAACCCTACTGAATTAACCTTTTCGAAAAGAAAACGCATTTCGGAAATACGGTTGACATTTCATGAGTTAGCCCACCTACTGTAGGTAGCTATAACATGATGCAACGCTTGTTGTTATCGTGTTTAAAAAATATAGGCATTTATCTGATTGTAGGCAACGGATGAGTACACCGGCGTCTCGTTTGGCAAACACATCACAGCAGAACTGACGTGATCGGCGCTTCCGGATAGAGCATGCGCGCAGTCAGCTCCTCGGGCAACCACCAACACATCACCAACTAGACAGAAATCTCCTCCAGCGGGGCAGATACGTACTTAGGCCTTCGTCCTTCCTAGTCCTCCGTCGCGGACGCACATCGCCAAATGAAATGACGCTCAAGCTACTGCACGAAGTATTAACCTTATATTGGGGTCTTTCTGGATCCCGGAATTTTGGGAATTGAACTGTAGCAACAAACTGGCAACTATTATCTGCTAGTTGACAGGCAACAGCCCCAATTGATTCAACCCAATCACCGCGTAATTCCCCATCTTAACTTTATGATCGCAGTTTATTGTATTACAGAGCATGTCCATAGTACCAAAAATGCGTTTGTCAACGGTTAACAGGAACTGTGTTTCTGACACAGTGGTGCAAATTATGATCTCCAATTGTGCCAGCATCTGCATGCATCCAGTCTACTCATGAACCAGCTTCTTCCAACCAAGTCCAACTATTACCGGCGATCTGCCTTCAGGCATTCAAAGTCCCTCCGTGTCTAAATCGATGAGAGCTCAAGCATGCAATGCGGTTTGCAACCTCTCCCGCGTTGGAGACAACGAAACTCTTCACCGGTGGATTTGTTTGACTCGGCATTTTAATGTCGGACACTTTCTTGCCTCGCCGTACTAAGGGCTTTTATTATACTTTGAATTATGTGTAATTAAGAACCTCTTTCATTCCCGTGGATGTGGGAGCAAGCATGTGTGATGGGGATAGACTTGGTTCCTATCTCGTCGGCCACTGGGCCAGCACCCAACCCCAGCCGTTTTGACTCTTGGATGTGTTAAAGGTAGACCAGACATTGTGTCGCGTTCATCAGCTCCCGGAGAAGACGAAGAAGAAGAGAGGGCGAATTCATGGACCATATTGTATCCGAACTGACGTTTCGGAAACTTCCTCGTTTCCATCATCAGAGTGGCGTACTTGTTGCTCCTGCCGGTCTTGAGTTGTTCAGTCTTGCCGCTTGCCTCGTATTATAGCCGTGCTCGACGCACGAACTTTGACCCGCCTGTTTGCCGCTGACTGGGCTGACCGCTGACAGGCCTGCGTGACCTTTGTTCCCTTTGGGGTCGGCGTAATTGTAGTCAAGTCAACGGGCCGGGTGACCTCTCCCACGTCAGCCGGTGGACTGATCGGTCGTTGCTGTTCATGTGGGCAGCATTCAGCTT